TGTAAATACATCATCTTCCTGGGGCCCAGAGCAGGGTGGGGAGTGGATGTGGAGGGCAAACAAGACATCCGGAACAATACGTGGGAACATGGAAGTGTACGGATAAGAGTATGCATTTGCTTCTTTCTGAAGGCTCTGGGGGAGAATTCACTTACTTGTCTTTTCCAGTTTCTCTAGACCCCCTCTCCCCCCACCCTTCTGCCCCTTCCTCCACCTTCAAAACAATTGCATCTGCTTCTGTGGTCACAGCATGTTCTCTGATTCCTGTTTTCTTTTTTCTTCTTTTAAGAGCCCTTGTGATTAGTTGAGCCCACTAATGCAGGATAATGATAATGCAGGATAACCTCCTCATTTAAAAAAAAAAAAATTGTATTTGCTCTAACTGGTTTGGCTCAGTGGATAGAGCGTCGGCCTTAGGACTGAAAGGTTCCAGGTTCAATTCCGGTCAAGGGCATGTACCTTGGTTGCAGGCATATCCCCAGTAGGGGGTGTGCAGGAGGCAGCTGATTGATATTTCTCTCTCATCGATGTTTCTAACTCTCTATCCCTCACCCTTCCTCTCTGTAAAAAAAAAAAATCAGTAAAATATCTTTTTTTTAAATTTGTATTTCATCACACCAGTGTCTTTGCCATGTAAGTAACATTCCCAGGTTCTGGGGATTAGCATAGGGACATCTTTAGGGCGGCATTATTCTGCCTACAACAGAGAGCGAGTAAACCATTTTGACTGGATTGGAGGGCTCCCTAGGAAAGTAATGAAAAGAGGACGGGCAGAACAAAGCCGATTTATGGGATCATAAATGCTAACCTGTCTGAATGTTTTTCTTTGGAGAAGAGGGAGCCATTGGAAGTCCTTCACCAGGGTGGTGGCTTGTTGGCAGTGTTAAGAAAGATGATCTGACCGTGGTGCTCTGGGTGGCCTAGGGGAAAGAGCAAAAACCTTTCAGGATGCAATTGGAGTAGTCCAGGCCCAGCGGAACAAAAGTCTGAAACAAGAATGACAGGAAGGGATGGTGTGAAAAGTACAGGGCAGTAAGATTCTGTAAGAGGGCTAGCCAACTGGACATGGAAGGAAGGGGAGGAATCTGAGCTTTGGAAGTGACTGGCTGGTAGATTATTGGTATGACATAGAAAATCAGGAGAGCAAATCTGTTTCCAGGGAAAACGATGAATTGGGATATAGTCGTAGAGGCCTGGAATAGCAATACAAATAGAATCTTACCAATGATAAGATGCTGCCTATCGTAAACACATGAATATTTTATGTGCCACTGAGGAAAGATTAAAATATGGTGCAGGTCTTCTTAAATGTGTAATTTTTACTTTATTGAAAGAGCTATTTTAGCCTTACACACAGATTTTTGAAGACTTTTAATTGACATACAATAAATTGCACATATTTAAAGTGTATACAGTTTGATATGTTTTGAAATCTGCATGCATCTATGACACTATCAGCACAATCAAGGTAGTTCATAACCCCCAAATTGCCTTTTTTATTTTTATAATATATTTTTAGTTTTTAGTTAGAGTTGAGGTTCAGTATAGTTTCAGGTGCACTACCCAGTGATTGGACATTTATATAATTTACAAAGTGTTCATCCCGATAACTCTAGTACCTTTTAACACCATACATAGTTATTATAATATTGCTGGCTATATTTCCTATGCTGTACTTTACATCCCCATGACTATTTTGCACCTACTAATTTGTACTTCTTTTTTAAAAAATCTTATTGTTGAAAGTATTACATGTATTCCCTTTATTCCTGCTAGCCCACCCCTCCTTCCAGCCCAGGCCTTCACCTCTCGATTATTTTGTCCACTGGTTATGCTTATTAGTATATGCATGCAAGTTCTTTGGCTTATCTCTTAAACTCCCAAACCCCACCTCCACCCAACCTCCCCTGCCTTCCATCTGAGGTTTGACGGTCTGTTTGATGCTTCTGTGTCTCTGGATTTATTTTTGTTCATCAGATTATGTTATATTCCACAAATGAGTGAGATCCTGTGATACTTGCCCCTTTGTAATTCCTCCCCCAGTCTCTCCCTACCTCCCTTCAATCTGTAAGCAACTACTGATTTGCTTTCGGTCATATAGCTCAGACTACATATTATAGAATTTTAGATAAATGTAATTATATCATATACATTCCTTTGGATCTGGCTTTTTTCATTCAGTATAATTATTTTGGGATTCATCCATATCATCATGTTTATCAATAATTCATTTGTTTTTATTTCTGAGTAGATTCCATTATGTGGACATACCACACTTTGTTAATCCATCCACCTACTAATGACCATTCAGGTTGTTTGCATTTTTTGTCTGTTACAAATAAAGCTGCTCTGAACATACATAGATTTTAAAAATAGCATACCATTCCTGTGCAACATAAAAAAGGGAAAATTCAAGTGAAATGAATTGGCTAATGTTCTTAATATGGTGCCTTTGTTTACACTGTTCCTTTTTCCAACTCTTTGAATCATTTTTTGACTCATAGTCATCAATGTCAGTTTTGTTTCATCCAGTACCTCCTCCTTGCCATCAAAAATGGTAATTTTATAAAAAATCATTGATGTTGGGTCTTAAACCAATCTGTAATTATATGGAACTGACCTAATCTGGACCTTCCTTTGGGAGTGTTGCTAAGTACACTAGAGTCGTCATGTCTCCCATTTCCTTGGTTTTAAAGAGTCCCTGGAATTTTTTTTCCAAATCCTTGACACCTATTCTGCTAGTTTTTGAAGCTGGTGCTTTTGATATTTATGCGTATGTAGACTGTAACAAGTCTTTCTTGACTGCTGCTGTGTCAGTGGTTGAAAGCCATCAATTGTCAGATAAATGTCAATTTCAGAATGTTAAATTGTGGGAAACTGTTCATCTTAGAACCCGTAGGTAAGGTAGTTTAATGTTTGATGGCTAAGAGCCTGGCTGATTGAGATCCTTGTTCATAGTCACTCAGTAAATTGGTGGTAGCTGGGACCAGAACAAAGTGTATTTGGTATAGTTGGTTTCTCTGACTTAGTGGGATGAATTTTGTTTTGTTATCCTGGACTCTAGCCATTGAAACTAAAAGAAGGTAGGCTTATGAAAGGGAAAGAGAGTTACATTATATATGGAAATGACACAAGTAGAAAACCATAAACTTAAATATGGTAAATAGTTGAATTAATAAGGAGAGGGAAACAGCATTCTTTCCATGCCAAACCATTTTTCATTTTTACTGTTTGAATTATCTTATTAAAAACAGGGCTTCTCAGATCATTCCTCTACTTTAAAAATTTGGAGCAGCTCCTTATCTCCCAACAGAATAAAGCCTGGGTTCCTAGGCAAGGCATATAGGGAAGGCCCTTCACAGATGTCTTCCTTGTCTTTCCTCTTCCTTCCCAGCAACTCTCCCCTCCATATATATATATATATATATATATATATATATATATATATTTTTATTTTAGAGAGGAAGGGAGAGGGAGAGAGAGATAGAAACATCAATGATGAGAGAGAATTATTGATAGGCCACCTCCTGCACGCCCCCTACTGGGGATCGAGTCTGTAATCCAGGCATGCGCCCTTGGCTGGAATCGAACCTGGGACCCTTCAGTTCACAAGCCAATGCTCTATCCACTGAGCCAAACTGGCCAGGGCAACTCTCCCCTCTAGACACACAAGCATTCCCCAACTTACCATGTACTTTCTTATCTTTGTGCCTTTGTGTACACTGTTCCTTTTTCCTAAGAATGACCCTTCCCCACTCATGTCTACCCTATGACCTCTATGACCTCTTTCTTCAAGTTTCAAACTCAAACTCCTTTTCACGGTGTCCCCTCAAACCTGAGATCCCCTTATCCAGTAATTATCTTTTTATATGTTTAAACCCACTTTATACATTAGTTTTGTTATAACACTCTCCTATTTGTGTGAATAGCTGTGATCTTCTTAGGGAAGTGTCATATCTTGTTTGCCTTTGTATTCCTGTTTTTCAGAACTCTGCCTGGTAATTAGTGTGCATACGGCAAATATTAATTGCCTTGAAAGATTTGACAAATAGTAATACCTCCTAAAGAGAAACATAATCAGTTGAGTACATTGTTATTTCCTGAATGCAGTATTATCTTTCTAGGGAATACCTATAAAATCCTCTGCAAAGAAGAAGGGATTGAGTAAAAATTTCACTGGGAGTGGAAGTTTAGGGGTGAGATGGTATAAAAAGGGGGGATTGAAAGGGGAATGGAATAGGAATGTAAAGGATTGAGCAGGATGGCCCAGGGAACAAAAAGGAAGTAGGACTAAAAGAGAATGGGAGAGGATGAAAGAAGAATAACAAGGAGAAGAGTGGAGAGGGTGAGCATGCAGCCAGGATTTCAGAATCTCCTTAGTCTAATGGCAGGGGGACCGCTGGACAATGCTTTCTCACATGGATGTTCCAAGCTCTCTTTCTGAATGAACCCCATTTTGTATTCTTCCCATCACTCTTTCTCTGAAAAGACACGAGTGTGCTGCTCACAACTGCCGTACAATTGGTGCATTGTTCTTCACTGTGCTCTGTGGAAAGCTGGAGGAGGCAGAGTAGTGTAGCGGGAAGGCACTCACTACCCTGGGAATCCGAAGGCCTGGCACATCCCAGTTCTGGAGCCTCAAGCAGAGCACGTAGCCACTTTCCATCTCAGACTCTCTATCTGTAAAATAGGTTATAAATGTCTGTCCAGGCTTTCTTTCCAGGTTGCTGTAAAGACCTAAGTAAGTAAAATAATATATATGAAAATACTTTGTAAGTGGTCACTTGCTCTACAAATGAGGTAATGTTATCTTTTTTGTTGAATTATTCGTTCAATAGAGAGACTCCACTGGGCAGATAGCATAGCCCTGTCTCCTGTTAATAAATCCTGTTTGCAGAAAGGAGGTAACAGTGTTTCTTTCTTATTAGTGGCATTCTGAGGTCGCAGGAAGCTGGCCCATTTAAATGTCCGCGGCCCATGAGAAGGGCAACTGAGAAACCATGGCGCTCCCTTTTCAAAAAGAGTTGGAGAAATATAAGAACATTGATGAAGATGAGCTTCTTGGAAAACTCTCAGAAGAGGAATTGAAACACTTGGAAAATGTTCTGGATGACCTAGATCCTCAGGTTAGTGACCTGGAACTGAAGCAGTGTGGTTAGTGATAGTCCCGGGGAAATGGTGTGGCATGTCCTTAAACAATGGTGTAGAAATCTCTTAGCTCCAAATGCAGATTCTGTGTTCTTTCCTGATTGGTCCTGAGTCACTTTCTACGAAATTTATGGAGAATCTCAGTAACCACAATCTATAATACGATATGACAAATGTATTTCTCAAAAACAAGTTTAATGTATATGGGGGAAAGTAGTTTCCATGGATTGATAAAAGAGTAGTCTGACTTGGGTGGGGGGGAAAAAGGGAAAGGGAGAAAAGGAACAAATCTTACCAAGTTTCTTCTGTGAATCACACATTCTGCTGGACATAATACATTTACCTAAGGTAAATGTATTATCCCAATTTCATAAATGAGGGGATAAAGTAGGAGAAGTAATTTACCTAAGAACTCATACTAGTAAATGTCAGAGATGATATTTAAACCAGGTCTTTACCACCAAAGATAGATCTTTTCTGTGTCTAGTGTCTTTAAAATGGCCGGTGTAGTTCAGTTGGTTGGGCATCATCCTGTGCACCGAAAGGTTGCCAGTTTGATTTCAGTCAGGGCACATGCCCAGGTTGCAGGCTCAATCCCCAGTAGGAGGTGTGCAGGAGGCAATCAATCAATGTTTCACTCTCACATTGCTGTTTCTCTTTCTCTCCCTCTCCTCTTCTCTCTCTCTAAAAATCAATTTAAAAAATCTTTTTTTTAATGTGTAAACTTGAAATCTTTGGTGATCCTACAACAATAGGTAGATTAGAATAACTGACCATAATATCAAATACACTTAAGTGGAGCAAATGCTTTTGATATTATCAAGTACACTAATATTTTCATGGGCTCTTGAAAAGCTAAGTAACTTGTTATAGTGTTTCCTTCAGACCTGCTGGTGTTAGCTTAAACTTAGAATCAGTGGCATCCAACATAATGGTTTTACTAGAAATAAAAATGTCACTAAAAATTATCTGTATGATAATCCGATGTGGCAGGTGCTTTGATACTGTGTTTACTTTTAAAAATATAAGTATTTTGATTGTATTGTTTAAACTTTAGGAAGGAATCTCTAAGCTTAATCAAGCTTGGCTGTTTCCCTAGGAGAAGGGTTGGAAATAAGAGAGAATAGCCATATGGGCTCCTCTGTAGAATCTCCATATGACTGCCTGGGAGCACCTCGGGTGCAGACGTGGCCAAAGCTAAGTAGGATCTAAGAGGCTGTGGAGGGGGGTGGCCATGCGCTGTCACGTTCTGGAAGGCAGCTGCAGGAGTCCCAGAAGCTGCTCCAGCACATGTGTGCTGCCTGCATTTGCAGCCCTCCTCTCCTCAGCACAGAATGTTAGAGCAGGTAGGGCCTCAGATGTGCCAAAGAACTCCACCCTTAGCTCACCCCTCCCCGTGTGCAGCCGAGGAGGGAAGTAACAGTATCAGTTGGCACCTTCCTTCCTGCTCACACCTTGTCTCACCAGAGTGCCCTGCTGCCAGCCGGATTCCGACAGAAAGACCAGACCCAGAAAGCAGCCACCGGCCCCTTTGACCGCGAGCACCTCCTCATGTACCTGGAGAAGGAGGCTTTGGAACAGAAAGACAGGGAAGACTTTGTGCCTTTCACCGGAGAAAAGAAAGGTAAGCACCACAGGGGGCACCTCTTGAGACAAAGGGGCTCTGAACATTATGTCCTGGAAGGCCAAGCCAGGGAACTGACCTGGGAATGGGAAGTAAGCCCACAATTGGATTCAGTGTTTAAAAGAATCGTGGCTGATGGATACATGTTCGTGTAGACATTTGTCCAGACCCATAGAATGTACACCCCCAAGAGGGAGCTCCAATGTAAACGCTAAGCTGTGGGTGATAGTGATATCCGTGTAGGCTCATTGGTTGTAACAGATGGACCGCTCTGCGGTGGGATATTTCATAGAAGGGAGACTGTCAGTGTGGGGCGAAGGGGTATATGGGTTCTCTCAGTGCTTTCCTCTGTGAGCCTAAAAACTGCTCCCCAAAATAAAGTGTATTAACTAAGCCACAAAGAAGCATGGAGGCTAGTTAAATGAATACCTAGAGTGTGGTGGTACTCCAGTTAATTCTGTAAAAAAAAGAATTCTTGTCAAAACCAGTTTGGCTCAGTGGATAGAGTGTCGGCCTGTGGACTGAAAGGTACCAGGTTTGATTCCAGTCAAGGGCATGTACCTTGGTTGTGGGCATATCCCCAGTGGGGGTGTGCAAGAGGCAGCTGATTGATGATTCTCTCTCATTGATGTTTCTAACTCTGTATCCCCCTCTCTTCCTCTCTGTAAAAAATCAATAAAATATATTTTTTTTTAAAGAATTCTTAAGTCCCAAATAAATTTTTGGGAGTATGAAGTAGTGTTGTGCCCAAGAGAAGGTCCCATAAGCGTGAATGCTCTTAGGCCAGGGCTTTCCCCGCTGCAGAAATCTACTCCATGTGTAGGCATTGGCTGTGTTCCTAGGTGTTACCATGAGAGGTAGTGCAGTATTGGTAGTCAGTTCATTCAGCATTGACCTCCGTTGTGCAGAGCCGAGTGCCCGGTGCTGGGACCACAGTGAGTAAGACCCTGCCCTGCCCTCAAGGAGCTGGTAGTCTAGTGAGAGAAACACTGTGACAGACCTGGGAAGACTGTGGGATAGGCATGACAGACTCAAGACAGGAAAACCTTCCTCCGTAGCTCTCATCCTGAGCCTTTTGGAGGAAAAAGTGGCTATCACTCACTTGTCCAGGTTCTTCAGCTATAGACGGCAACTTGGGCCCATGGGTACTAATAAAATCATTGTAATCTCATGGCGACCACAGTCTAAAATATATGTATAAATATATTTTTAATTGGTTTTTAGAGAGAGAAAAACATCTCAACAATCAATCAGCGGCCTCCTGCACAGCCCCCACCGGGGTTCAAGCTTATAACCCCAACATGTGCCCTAATTGGGAATCGAACCAGCAGTCCTTCAGTGCACAGGACAATGCCCAGCCAACTGAGCCACACCAGCTGGGGCTACCACAGTCTTTTAAAAACACCAATCAGATCATGCTGCTTCCCTCCTTAAATCCCCAAATCCTTACTGTGCTTCTCATAGTCCCGGGAGACTTCTCCCTGCCCACCTCTCTGACAGTCTTCCCTCGCTAAGCCTCAGCCCCAATATCTTCATTCGGTTCCCCGAACCTGCCGAGTTTTTCCCCCATCTCAGGGTCTTCTCTTGGGCTCTTCCCTCAGACCCACATCTCCATCTTTTTTATTTCTAAATCTCAGCTTAATTGCCCAAACCTCCCGCTTCCCTTCTGTCTAAAATAGACGCTTTCTTTCTGCCCTGACACTCATTACTTTCACAGCCTTGGGACAGTGTTTATCCTTTGTTTATTTGTTTTGGGTTTCCCGTGTTTTCCACATTAGATTGAGATCTCCACAGTGGGGCTGAGTCTCTTGCATCCTGGCACAGAAACTGGCACGGGGAGGCACTCGATAAACATGGACTCGAATGAACGCCATCTCTGAGCTTCTGTGGGGGTGGGAACACAGCTCCCCGGCTGGCATGAGTCACAGCAGTGCTACCTCCGCTTACACAGCGCCCAGGCTCTCCTCTGAGCCAGGCACGTTTGACGGGTCATGCACCATGGATGACGCGTTTTTATTAAGAAAGTAAAGTTGAACAGTAACAAACCAGGCAAATAATCAAGGATTACTGTAGAAATATGGAGCTCTTTCTATGACAACATAGTTGCTATTGAACTAATTTAACTGTGAAATAAAAATTAAATTATTTAATGCCCAATTTTCGATAAAATTCCTGTTAACATCCAGTATTAGGGTAGTGACTGGATAACAAGAAAGCTGTTGTGTTCTGTTCTTAGAGTAGAGATTTGAGGAGGTAAATTGCCCTCTCGATCCAGATCAACTTACAGATGGTTCATGGGAAACCTACGGGTGCAGAAGCAGTCTGAGTTATAAATGGGGATACAAGAGGAGCATACAGCTGCACAGATAGCTTAGGAGAAGGTTGAGAAGCAACACAGTTGAGCAAAAAAGAGGTTTTGCACACAGAGCAGAGGGATGAGGGTGAGGTTGGGAGAGTCTGCAGGGCCCCGGGAGGGACCAGTGAGTGCTCTAGAAGCCATGGGGGGCTATGGTGAGAGTCTCAGGAGAGGGGTGGCACACCTCAGTTCTGAAGGCCGTGTGCCTGAGCTACATTTAACTCTCTGGCGTAGCTTTTTTCACTGGGAACTTACTTGGTCGGAGCCCAGGGAATGGCTGTGTGGACTCCGACCAGTTGTCCTGAATGCCGATAGCTGTGGTCACCTGTGCAGATAGTGTTGGGAGGTGCCCTGAACAGTACCAGAAATTACATAGAAATCTGATTTTGACTCTGGACTCGAGATCATCCGGTTGGGGTGTTGCAGATATTGGCCTATTCAGAAGTGAGAAGGGGCAAAATGAATGTAATTCGATTGACAGGGTAAGGTGGGAGATGGTGGCAGAGAATGTGCACGTGGGAAGCACAGGGAGCCCTACTGTCCAAACCCCCATGGCTCTGAGTACGCCAGCCCTGGTTATTTTCCTTTAAGTCAGGCTGACTTGGGTATGCTGTAGAGAGGTGGCTGCGTCCCAGGTCACTACTACCTAGTCACATGATCCCAGATAGAACATCCTACTGGTCTGCCACCTCCGTTGGTGAGAGGAAAATTCTGGATGATCACGTTGGTTCCTTCGGAATCCCGGGGCCATTTGGATGAGTCTAGTCCGAATATTTGCAGGGTCCAAGACAAGAAGACAAACAGAAGTCCAAGTACCTTTAAAAAAAAATAAAACCAAACACACAAATATTTAAAAGTTAGCAAACAGTTAAAATATGTTATATCCTACAAATATACATAGGCCAGGACTCTTGGACTTCCAAGAGTTCTACACAGGGATGTCTGTCCTCTGCCAGAACCTCAAATGCATATGGTTGACACCTCATTCATACTCACCCACCACAGCCTCCCCTTGGCCTGGGGGTGTGCATCCCAGCAGTGTGATCTGCATTCAGGAGGGTGAGCATGGAAGCAGGCTCTTGGCTCTTAGGCAAAGAATCCCAGGGTCCGAGGTGCCTGGGTGTGGTCTTGCAGGCAGCCTCTTTGTCCCATGATTCTTCCCTTGGTGGGGTAGAAGCAGTGTGTGTGTGTGTGTGTGTGTGTGTGTGTGTGTGTGTGTGTGTATGTCGGGGGTAGGATGGTTTGCAGCCAGAGCAGACCAGAGCTGAGCTCTTTAAAGTTGGAGTCCACAGTAGTGTCCCCGCCCCCCTTGCCCAGGTCTAAGGGCAGTGCTGCTGATCGAAGGGAAGGAGGGTGGTAGAAGCCATTTCTCTCTGTAGTTGAGGACTGCAGTCTTCTTGGATGTCAGTGTTGTAGAATGCAGGATTTCTCCTCTGACCTTCCTTCCTTCTAATTGTGGATTATTGATGATGGCATCATCCCAGCAATTCAGGCTTCCCAGTTGGATGTGCAACAGCTTAATGACTTGGCTCTTAACGGCCAGAGCTGCAGTCTCTGATGGGCCCACATCTCCTGTTATAAGCAGCCCACACCATGGTTTTTGTTTTTCTTCTGATTTAAAGGGAGAGTCTTTATCCCCAAAGAAAAGCCTGTAGAAACGCGTAAAGAAGAAAAAGTGACTCTTGATCCAGAACTGGAAGAAGCTTTGGCCAGTGCTTCCGACACTGAACTCTACGATCTTGCAGGTTAGTCCTCAGCTCTGGGTCACTTTCCTGCAGGGTAGTCCTCAGCTTTGGGTCACTTCATTCTGTGATTTCCAGGTCTGCCTCCATGGCAGTAGCCTTTGAGTTTTTATTGTGATAACTGGTTGGCCTCAATCTTTATGTAGCTCTAAGACTTGGTACAGGTGACTTAACCTCTCTGAGCAAACATTCTGCTGAAGTTCAGCTGTAAAATGCCCCAATAAAACCCATCCTACCAAACTCAGAGTTTCTATGAGAAATCAGAGAATAGAGTTGAAGGAGTGCTGAGAACTTACACAATAAAATAACAGCTCTTGCGCTTTCTAAAGAGCTTTCACATTGGGGACTTTATCACCACAAAATTTCCATGACATTCTTGCTCTTCCCCAGTTGCTGTTCCATTTGGATCCCCACTAAGAGGTCTGTTGAACCCAACTATGGAATGGGGGCAATTACTGTTACATTCACTCGGGGCAGTAAATCCACATTCATCCCAATCCGCTGACTTTTCCCCTAGTTTTCTTAACAGTAGCAACAGTACAATAATTATTGGCATAATTATTTGAATTGGTTATACTTGCAGATAGAAAAAGCCCAAAAAGTACAAAAGAATATATAATTGCCCTAGCCAGTTTGGCTCAGCAGATAGAGCCCACAAGGTCCCAGGTTTGATTCTGGTCAAGGGCACATACCATGATTGCAGTTTCCTTCCTGCCTATGTCCTGGTCAGTGCTCATACAGGAAGCAACCAATCAATGTGTTTTTCACACTGATGTTTTTCTCTGTCTTTCCCTCTGTCTTCCAATCTCCCTAAAAAATTTAATTAATTAATTAATTAATTAATTAATTAAATTTTTAAAAGATGAAAAAATATCCTCAGGTGAGGAGTAACAAAAGAATATATAATGAAAGTAAGTCTCTCACCCTGATTCCATAAGCTCCCTCCCATTTCTTATCTATTCTTTTAGAAAAAGTCCATGCATATAACAGCATATTTGTGTACCAATGGGATGCATTTTTTTTCCAAATAAGATGGATATGTGGATGCTGAGGGTTATTAGGTCATCCCAGGAGAGAGGTATTTTAAAAAATAGTCCATAGCTTTAGCAAGAATTTTTACATTTTTATTCCATTGGAAGGCATCTATATATAGAAAAGCCTAAGCGACCAAATGACCGGTCGACCAGTCGCTATGACATACACTGACGACCAGGGGGCAAAGACTCAATGCAGGAGCTGCCCCCCGGTGGTCAGTGTGCTCCTACAGCCAACCTCCCCTGGCAAACCAACCTCCTGCACTCCATCATCGCAGCCAGCTGGCCCCGATCAGCTCCTATTGGGACTGGGCAAGACGGCCCCTATCAGCCATGTTCACTGACCAGGCCAAGGGATCCCACCCATTCACAAATTTGTGCACCGGGCCTCTAGTATAATTATAATCTCCATCCTCCCAGGAGAACCAGCTATGCCTTATTCTAATAGCATGCAAATCGTTCTAGCTACATTTTCATTCCTTCTGTGATATTAGTGGTCAGTATTAAATTCACATATTTGAAACCCTCTCAGAAGTCACTGCCTCATTGAGGCACCTGTGCCACACAATTAGGAAGGTGCTTAGCAGTGACCAGTCTCCTTAGCCCTGTGGTTGCTGTGGAGAGATCTTGTTATGGTGACCGTTGCCTCTCAGTCTGTCCTGGAATTGCCCAAAGGGAGAATGCAGGGCTGGGCTTAAATTCCCAGGAAATGTTTTAGGAGAAGGAAAGAGATAAACACCAATCATTTGGAAGATCCTTACATTCATGCAGTAAAACCAGGGGATAATCCCCAAAGAAAGCCGTGGTGTTCGTTTTACGTAGCCTCCCTCCCTCAGCACCGGGAAGAAGCCCGCATCTTCTCTCGGGCAGCTCTCTCCGGAAGAGTGTCAGTGCCCTGCCCATGGTACTCCAGCAGACAGGAGCAGAAGGGCACGTCATTCCTCCAGCGAGCACCCCCACAGTGGCCCTATTTCTGTGTGGTCCCCAGCCAAACCATTCTAGCTCTCAGTCTGCCGGCCTGGAGATTTGATCTTGTCAGTGCACATAGCAGCAGTCTGATCGGGGCCAGGCAGTGGGGACGGATCCATCCACCTGCCAGGTTTACCGGAAACAGGTAACACGAAAATTAACACTTGGCAATGGAGCCAAATTATAATTAGAAGTTATCAGAGAGTATGGGACCAAAGCAAGATGCGTCTTTTTGGATGGTCTCAGTACCTTGTGCTTATCAAATAGGGCCTCTCCCTAAACAATGACAGAAACAGTAATAAATGCTTATTTACTAATAAGAATTTACAAAGCACTTAGAACAGTGCCTGATCCATAGGGAGTCATTTCATCTTTTTTTTTTTTATCCTCACCTGAGGAGTGAGGATATTTTTCTATAGATTTTTAGAGAGAGTAGAAGGGAGGGAGGAGTGGGGGAGAGAAAAAGGGGAGGGAGAGAGAAACATCCATGTGAGAGAGAGACATCAATTTGTTGCCTCCCACACACATCCCTACTGGGGTGGGGATCAAACCTGCAACCCAGGTACGTGCCCTTGTCCAGGAATCAAACCTGTGACTCTCTGGTGCTCAGGCTGACACTCTAACCCCTGAACACACTGGCCAGGACAGTCATTTTATTTTTGTAGTAGGTAAAGCATGATTATTATCCCTGTTTCACAGATGGGAAAACTGAGGTTCGGAGGCATTTAGTAACTTCTCAAGTCACACAGGTAGTACATGACAGTATTCATATTGACTGCTCCTGGGTGTCCTTTTAACCCTAGACTTGCTGATCCTATGGTGTGCTGGCCTCCTGCCTCCTTCTAACGTGCAGATTGCAGTACAGCTGATGAGGAGCTCAGAGGTTAACAGGAGCTCTGCCCCCTGTTACCAGATGATCCATTCTGGGATCCTTCACCAGGTGGCCTCTGGCCGCCTGTAATTTTATTAGCGAGGTTAGAGCTGGGTGTGCAGTTGCTTCAGCCTGCCTGGTGTGCATTCTCCCCCAGTGCTGTTCTTCGCATGCTGTGCTGCCCCCTGGTGCCAATTCCGTGTAGTACATGAGCCTCAAATCAGCATGCTCAGCCTTCCCTTGCCAGTGTCTCTTATTTTATTTTTTTTTAATATATTTTATTGATTTTTTTTTTTACAGAGAAGAAGGGAGAGGGATAGAGAGTTAGAAACATCTATGAGACAGAGAAACATCAATCAGCTGCCTCCTGCACACCCTCAACTGGGGATGTGCCTGCAACCAAGGCACATGCCCTAGACAGGAATCAAACTGTGAGATGCTTTAGATAAGGAAAGGGCAACTTCTCGTGGTGAAGCTTCTATTGAAAGAGACCCATGATCTTTCTGCTCTTTGCCTCTGAAAAAATACACGCCATCGTCTCTATAATGTCAAATCTTAAAATATCCTTCTATTCAGTCTGGCCCTCACGTTTTACAGATGGGAAGGCTGATGAGTTGAATCTACTTTACTAGAAGGTCTTAGCAGGTTTTCAGTAATTTGGGACCATCACAAGACCATTGTCCCTTGGATCCCAAATGGTGTCACAGGTCCAGATCTAGAAAGACCTGTGTAGATTGCTGGTGGTCTTACAAGGAGTGTGTGTGTGTGTGTGTGTGTGTGTGTGTGTGTGTGTGTTACTGTATCAGTTTATTTAACACTATATATGTACCACACACTGTGCAAGGAAATATGGGTCTGGAGCTCATCTTTATGATACAAAGAATCATTCTTCAAGGAACAAATTAATAATGTGGATATCCTAACATGTTTTTTCACTGATTTTTTTCTTCTTTCAGCTGTTCTTGGAGTACACAATATGCTCAATAACCCGAAGTTTGATGAAGAAACACCCAACAGTAAAGATGGCAAAGGGCCTGTGCGAAGTAAGTTGACGCGGAATCTGTGGTTCTGTGAGGCTTGGGAGCCTCCACGTGCTGCTGGGAGGAGAGGCCTGCTGACTGGGCCTCCTGGTGCGTCCTAATCCCTGTGCTGCAGCCTTTGAGGGTGGCTTCTGTCCATTCACCAAGGATCCCTGGGCTCGAGGCAACCAGACTAGAATAGAGCAGCTGGTCCTGGGAACTCTGTCTGGCAGTGCAGCTAGTAACAGCCAGTTGTTTTGTCCAAAACACACTCTGTAGTTAGGTCCCTTCAGTCAAAAGGTAAAGTTGCTGATAGGTTGCATAGTTAGCGTGGAATGCAGAGTTTCCTGTTCCCAAGGAGGTTTTCATCAAGCATCTTAAATAAGTTCTTTTCTCTATGTCTTTCAGTGTCTTTTTGGTCTCAACAATGGGTACTTGTCATTAGAATTTGAATACCCAGATCCCCTAGAGAGCACGAAAGACACACTGGGATGGATTTGCTGGCACCGAAGTGCCAGACCATTTCCTGGCCAAGGGTCAGCTCATTAGATTCTCCCACTTACTCATTGGTCACCTTCCAAATATCTACAGTGTGTCATGGGTTTTATCTTTAGGTGCAAAGGTAAAAGATGGTCACTGCCCAAAGGAACTTACCTACCCATAGTAGGAACTGACCAATAATGTAATTTTGGACAATATGATCCAGGTGCTGTGAAAAACTCCCCAAAGACCACAGCTTTTCTGAGATGAATTCTATTTTATTCTCTTTGATGAAAACTTGGGAGACGCTTTCTAGTCTCAGCAGCATATATATAAATCATCGTGGATAATTTACACAGACAACAAGCAATGTTCCTTTTATTTTCTTTCTGGTTTCTTATGCATACAGATAAAAAAAATGTTCATTGTTAATTTCAACATGAAAAAGGGTAACGTTCTGACAACATGTTTGCTGTTAAAAGTCTGGTGCCTAACCTTCTTGGCTTTTATACATACACATACATATTGTTAAAAACACACAATGTTTTAGAGCATTTTTAGGTACACAACAAAAATGAGAGGAAGTCACAGGGATGTTTTATATATCCCCTGCCTTTCCTCATGGATAGCCTCCCCCATTACCAACATCCTGCAACAGAATGGTTGGCGAACCTGCATTGACACATTGCTTTTACCCAAAACCCGTAGTTCACATTAAGGTTCAGGAAGAGATGCACCTGTGGATGGAAATGCTGAGAATGAGGAAAATGGGGAGCAGGAGGCTGACAGTGAGGAGGATGAAGAAGAGGAAGAAGGAGGAGAGGGGGAAGAAAAGGAAGACGAAGGTGGTGGTGAGGAAGAGGATGGAGATGAAGATGAGGAGGATGACGATGATGAGGATGACGATGTTGACACCAAGAAGCAGAAGACTGATGAGGATGACCAGACAGCAAAAAAAGAAAAAGTTGGAGGCCTCCGTAGCCTATTCACCCTCTACTTCCCGTCTCAGAATCTAAATGTGGTCACCTTTGAGGAGAGACTCCCGCCCGCCTGCCCACCCACCCACCTCAGGCAGCGCCACCTGCAGGTGACACGCCGCCTTCACCACCCGACCAAAATCACCATGTGAATTTGCAACAGGGGAGAAAAAAAGAACCAAAACTTCCAAGGCCCTGCTTTTTTTCTTAAAAGTACTTTTAAAAGGAAAATTTGTTTGCATTTTTATTCACATTTTATATTTTTGTACATATTGTTAGGGGTCAGTCATTTTTAATGATCTTGGGATGACCAAACCAGCCTTCGGAGCATTCTCTGTCCTACTTCTGACTTTACTTGTGGTGTGACCATGTTCATTATACTCTCAAAGGAGAAAAAAAAAAAAGAAAAAAAAACTTGTCAGAAAAGCAAAACAACAACAACAAAAAATCTTATTCCGAGCATTCCAGTAACTTTTTGTGTATGTACTTAGCTGTACTATAAGTAATTGGTTTATATGAGATGGTTTAAAAAGCCAAAGATGAAAAGGTTTCTTTTTTCCTTTTTTTTTTTTTTTTTTTTTTTTTTTTTTTTTTGTCTATGAAGTTGCTATTTATTTTTTTTTTTTGGCCTGTTAGATGTATGTGTGAAACAATGTTGTCCACAATAAATGGGAATTTTATTTTGCTGAGTTGTTCTAACAAAAACAAACAAACAAAAACAAACTTAACACAAATAAGCCTATTTTTCTTATTTTCTGAAAGTGAACTGTTTCCTGTTGCTCACACCAAACAAGTCAGTCCAAGACTAATGACGTGGCAATTGGCTGCTAAAATACTCACTGCCAGTATTAGTGGAGAGAAATGGGGTGCCTGCGCATCGGGAAAGTGAATGCAACATGATTATAGTAATCAGTCATTAGCGAATGTTGTAATGCATTATTAATAATTATGTATCACAAATCATTGTAAAAATTAAGTTAAGAAGCTTTTTTTAAAATCAATCTTTATTGTTCATATTATCACAAAAGTTCCTCATTTTTCCCCCCCTCCACCAGGTTCCCACCCCACCCTCTGCCCTTTCCCCACCACCCATTGTCCTCATCCATAGGTGCACAGTTTATGTTCAGTCTCTTCATGAAACTTTCATTATATGGTTTCTTACATACTATTGTATTGGCTGGGTCGCAAGTTTGTCATGCTTGCTGTGGGGTCTCCTGCACTTTTGGCTCCGTGCAGTGTCAGCTACTGAGACTTCTCACTGCGACTAAGAAGCATCAATCTTTGAAACTATAACTCAGAGCCATACTGTTCCCATGCTTGTTTAGTTGAGAATAAGCTTACTGTCATTGATAATAAAGTATTATTAAAATCAGAGCATATGAGCCAAAACCAGTTTGGCTCAGTGGATAGAGTGTCGGCCTGTAGACTGAAAGGTCCCAGGTTCGATTCTGGTCAAGGGCATGTACCTTGGTTGTGGGCACATCCCCAGTAGGGGGTGTGCAAGAGGCAGCTGATCGATGATTCTCTTTTATCGATGTTTCTAACTCTCTATCCCTCTCTCTTCCTCTCTGTAAAAAAATCAATAAAATATATATATATATTTTTTAAAAAAGAATCAGAGCATATGAAAGAAAGGTCATTTGGGGGGTGAGGGGAATCATCACTCATTTTGACAGGAGAATCCCTACTTTTCTTTTTTTTTAAATTTGTGTCCTAGATGTGGTCAAAGGTGAAAAGGTCAAGCCTGTATTTGAGGAACCACCCAACCCCACGAATGTGGAAGTAAGTCTGCAGCAGATGAAAGCTAACGATCCCAGCCTCCAAGAAGTCAACCTCAACAACATTAAGGTATCTCACCGTGATTGTTGTCAGTCACTTGATTTATCATGAGTTTAGGAAACTTAAAGGGGATGACTGATTATCTATTTGAAATCTTTTGAGTCACTGATTTTTTAAAAAATATATATTTTATTGATTTTTTTTACAGAGAGGAAGGGAGAGAGATAGAGAGCTTGAAACGTCGATGAGAGAGAAATATTGACCAGCTGCCTCTTGCACACCCCCTACTGGGGATGTCCCGCAACCAAGGTACATGCCCTTGACCGGAATCGAACCTGGGACCTTTCAGTCCACAGACCAATGCTCTACCACTGAGCCAAACCAGTTTCTGCTGAGTCACTGATTTTTGATGCAAGATATCCTATTCAAAAGAAGAAGTAGATTTAAAAAATAAGTGATTTCTAGAATTCTTGGAAACAATAATAGTAGTTGTATTAAATAGTATACTGATTATCTTTTGTTGAGTAGCAAATTACTTCAAAACTTACAGGCTTGAAAAAAGAAGCATTTATTCACACAGTTTTCGAGTATCGGGAAACAGGAAGTGACTTAGCTGGGTGGTATGGCTCAGTGTTTCAAAAAGGCTATCAGGCAGCTATCAGCCTGGGCTGCACTCATGTAAAGGCCCGCCTGAGGCAGCAGGACCTACTTCTGAGAAGGTACACTCATGTGCCTGTTTACAGGAAGCCTCTGTTTCTACCAGATGGCCCTTTCCTTTGGGTGGCCTGAGTGTCCTCACTTCATTGACAGCTGGCTTCCCCCAGTGTGGGTGATCCAAGAGAAAGAGGACAGTCAGGAAGCCACAGTGCATTTTATTACTCCTTCTAGGAAGTCACACATTGTCACTTACACGTTATTCTATTTGGCAATAGGTCATGTGACTCTCAAGTGGAGACGTGTGTGTGTGTGTGTGTGTGTGTGTGTTGTATATGAGAGAAAGAGAGAGAGAGAGAGCATTGTCTGACATGTTTTGTTCATTCTTATTGGACCAATTTCTAGCATTTAATAATAATAACAGACTTTTATTGAGTACTCGTTATGTATCAGATTTTTTGCTGAAAACTTGAAATCCATTATCCCATTTAATTCTTAGTGGAACTTAAAGAGGTTAAGTTGCTCACAGTCCCAGAATTTGTCTGTGGGACATATAAGACTCATGTCAACCTCTGGCTGCGCTCCATATGGCCTCCCTCCCCGTGGTCAGTACCCAGCTAAGCGCTGTAGAAGAGGGAGCAGGATTCATTTTGTCTATTCTGAAGAACTTATTGTTAGGAGAGTAACACTAAACAAATAATTAGAGCATGATGTGGTAATCCCCCAAGTGTTATGGAATTGCAGGTAAGGAAAACTTTGATCCTGCCCATGAGAGCCAATAAACAAAGGAGGTGATATTTTAGCTGAGTCTTTTTTTTTTTAAATATATTTTATTGATTTTTTTACAGAGAGGAAGAGAGAGGAGTAGAGAGTTATAAACATCAATGAGAGAGAAACATCCATCAGCTGCCTCTTGCACACCCCCTACTGGGGATGTGCCCGCAACCAAGATACACGCCCTTGATGGGAATCGAACCTGGGACCTTTCAGTCTGCAGGCTGACACTCTATCCACTAGGCCAAACCAGTTTCGGATAGCTGAGTCTTAAAAGACCAGTAGGAATTAATCGGAGAAAGGACAGAGGAATTTCCAGATAAAGGAAAAAGCATATCTAAAAGTATAGAGGAGAGAAAGACCATGATATATTAAAAGAATAGCAAGTAGGTCCGTCTGGTTAGAACACAGAGAATGAAAGAGAAGAGGAGAATATGGTAGGTGCATAATTTTTTGGTTAGTAAACAGAAAGGTGATGCCAGAGTGTCTCCTGTTACATTCCCTCATTAGACACAGTGTTGCTATTGGCTGTGGATGGCTTCAGTTGTTGGAAGATGGGTGATAATGTCTTTTAGAGGGGATAGCATGCAATTAGTCATCTAAATATATAAAGTACTTAAAGCTATGGATCCTTGGTTTATCAACTCTCTGTACCTTCCCCATCGTAGAACATTCCAATCCCAACCCTGAAAGAATTTGCAAAGGCTCTGGAGACCAACACCCATGTCAAGAAGTTCAGCCTGGCTGCCACCCGCAGCAATGACCCTGTGGCAATTGTGAGTAAAATTCTTAGAAATGTAACTTGAAAATATTAAATTCATTATAAACTCTTTAATTTACCTCATTAACAACTTTTAGATCTGGTAAATTTATTTTTGACATCGTTACTAAACAAAATAAGTTATAATAAGACAATAAAACAAGATCCAGTTGTCAGGCACTTTGAATTATGTAGAATTTTGTTAGCAATACACTTTTTAGGGGAAAGAAACAGGATTAGATGAGACATTTAGCTAAACAAATATCTAGATTTTGCTCTGGGCTTAGTGCAAATTTTCTGAAATTTTTGCATCTATAATAACATTCTGTCACAATCATAAGACCTCAAGAAATCCTACAAGAACTTGGCACATATAAAAACGTTAAAGTATATTTCATTTTAATCTTTAAAATGGATTAGTATGTTTCAAAAATATTTTAACCACCAAACCTTGAAACGTTTTTTGTATTTGATATTGTTAACCAGAATATGAAAATAAAAACCAAAGCCCTGTTCCTTCTGTGCACATTTGATAATTCAGCTAAACAAGGACCCCCTTGACCCAATTAACTACTGCTACAATCACCATCATCAGTGTTACTCCTCCTGTTAATAGCTAACATTTCTTGAGCAACTCGTAAATTCCAGCACTGATCTCTATACTTTACACGCGTCACCACACCTAATCTCCACTATAGCATTTTCAGGCATGCACTATTACTAGTTCCCACTTTGACAAATGAGCAATCTGAGGCTCAGAGAGGTGAATTAACTCTTCTAAGGTGACTCAGCCCATAGGCAGTAGAGCCAGGATTCACCACCAGGTCTTTTTGGTTCCTCAACGAGAATGCTTAACCATCAAACTCTGCTGTATTTACACACGATGCCTCCCTGTCAGACATTTGCTAAAATATGTCCGTTATCAAGAGCCTGAGCATCTCCCTGTGGTTCTACAGCATCTAGTGCTCAGCTAGAAAATCAGAAGTTTTCTTTACTTGATGCCATGGTTTAAAGTAACAGGTCTTTTGGAAGATCTGAAATACTTAAAAAACAGACAAGGTGAAAGTTATGGTGCTGGCACAGGATAGATGTTTGAAAAACACTTGATAAATGAATGAATGAGTGTGCCCTCCAGCCTCAGCAATAGAGAATATTTCCACAATTACATAAGCACTAAGCTGAAAAATTGATATTTTCACCAGAAATTACTACTTATCTAAATTTGTAAGTTGAGAGCAGTTTTGAATTTAAAACCTATCATTAAATTAGAAAAAGAGCACAACTCGCTCATTGGTAAAATGAAATTAACAATTTAAGGATTCTTATCTGTATATAATTTTATATAATCTCTGCCTTTTAGATTTGTTTTCAATAAAGCAAAAAATATTCACAGTGCATTCTGTATGCAAGTGGCCAAAGGGATGATAAACAAAGAAATAACTTGTCACTCCTACTTGATATATTATCTATATATATAAAAGGCTAAGCAACCGTCCGACCATCTGACCAGTAGCTATGACACACACTGACCACCAGGGGGCAGACGCTCAATGCAGGAGCTGCCAAGCTGCGGTGACTTGGCAGCAGTAGTTCTCAGATGGTGCACCCCAGAATCAGAGAGGAAGGAGCCTGATTCCAGGATGCATCACCGGAGAACTGCCCTCTTGCAATGTGGGATCCCTCATGGCATGTCAGAGAGCTGTGTTCAGCCCCATTCCCGCAGGCCATGCTGAGGGACCCCGCCTGCTGAAGGGACCCTGCTCACTCTGCAGATGCCCTTCAAGCCGAGACACTGCCCTAGGTGTGGCTAGCGAGGGAGGGAGCAGGGGAGGTTGGCTCCAGGGTGTGTCCAACCCGTCTCTCTCAGTCCTACCCTGCCAGCCACCTTCTAATTAATTTCCCTTCAATGTGCATGAATCCATGCACTGGGATTCATGCACATTGAATAAAATGGCAGGAATAGGAATAATTTCTAATCCATTATCAACACTACTAATAAATAATCTAACCTACTCAGATCAAATAGGTAGTTTTCTAACTGAACTAAGTAAATTCCAAATATAGCCATTTCTTTTTAAAAAAATATATTTTATTGAGTTTTTACAGAGAGGAAAAGAGAGGGATAGAGAGAAACATCAACGAGAGAGAATCATCGATCAGCTGCCTCTTGCACACCCCCTACTGGGGATGTGCCCGCAACCAAGGTACATGCCCTTGACCGGAATCGAACCCAGGACCTTTCAGTCTGCAGGCTGACGCTCTATCCACTGAGCCAAACTGGTTTCGGCAGTAATTTCTTTGATACTGTTTTTAATCAACAACTATGGTGAATGCACTCTGTGTGACCAGCATACTATACAATTGTGAGGAAGAATTGCTATCCTTCGGGGTGTGAAGAGAAAAGACTTTTTGGCTTTATGCCAAGATGGCCCAGCTCTCACCTGGCTGCCCCTAGATCAGTGGTCCTAAAGGGTGGTGCACAGATCACTGGCAGTCCGTGAGGTCCGAAAGGTAGGCGGCCGCTGCCCGAGATGATTCCCCTTTCAGTTATGCCATTGTCAGGAAAGAGCCTTTGGGTAGTTTGAAAATTGTTTCATTACCCCACAGAGATCTTCCGTCTGTGTTTATGACTGAACGCCTCATTGTTGAGAAGTAAAAATCAACATTAAAGCCAAGCACTTCAAGACACTTTTCTTTTCTTTTTTTAAAAAAATATATTTTATTGACTTTTTACAGAGAGGAAGAGAGAGGGATAGAGAGTTAGAAACATCGCTGAGAGAGAGTCATCGACCAGCTGCCTCTTGCTCACCCCCTACTGGGGATGTGCCCACAACCAAGGTACATGCCCTTGACCCGAATTGAACCCGGGACCTTTCAGTCCGCAAGCCGACGCTCTATCCACTGAGCCAAACAGGTGCCAGCTCAAGACACTTTTCTTTTTTTTTTTTCTTTTTTTTTTTTTTAAATATATTTTATTGATTTTTCACAGAGAGGAAGAGAGAGGATAGAGTCAAAAACATCGATGAGAGAGAACCATCGATCAGCTGCCTCTTGCACACCCCCTACCGAGGATGTGCCCGCAACCGAGGTACATGCCCTTGCCCGGAATCGAACCTGGGACCTTTCAGTCCGCAGGCCGACGCTTTATCCAGAGCCAAACCGGTCTCGGCTCAAGACACTTTTCTATGTAAGGTTCAAAACCTGATTCAACAAGGCACTTGTGAGATCATTATAAATGTAGACAAAACAGTGTGTATATAAGATTGCATTATCCCCATTTTATAGATGAGCCAACTGAGGCTCAGAGAGGCTGAGTAACTTAACTAAGATTAAGCATGTAGTCAAGCCAGGAAGTGAATTTAGTGAATTTAATTAAGTTTAGTTCACCAGATATTTCCATATAAATTCACCAAGTACTTCCACTTAACCACACTATAGAAATGAGTATTGACGCAACTTGTCATCACTGAATACCAGTGTAGAGAAAAGACCCAAATATGTAAAAAATGCTATTATTATTAACAATGATGCCCCCAAAAAAGTCAAGAGTTTATTACAGCACTGTACAATCAAAAGAAAATGGCAGCCACAAATGTAAGCCATATGCATAATTTTCAGTTTTCCAGTAACCGCATTAAAAAATAAAAAGAGCACTGGCTGGTGTTGCTCAATGGTTAGAGTGTTGGCCTTCACACTGAAGGGTCCCAGTTTCGATTCCTGGTTCCAGTTGGGGCATGTGCAAGAGGCAACCAATGGATGTGTCTCTCTCGCATTGATGTTTCTCTCTCTTTCTCTCTCTTTCTCTCCCCTTCCCTCACTCCTCCCCTTACTTCCACTCTCTGAAAAGCAATGGAAGAAATATCCTCAGGTGAAGATTAACAACAACAACAGAAACACAAACAAACAAAAAAAGAAAGAAAGAAAGAAATGAAATTAATTTTAACTTTAATAATATATTTTATTTAAACCAATATATTGAAAATTTCAAAATACAAGTTGGAAATATAATGAGGTATTTTACCTTATTGTTTTCGTGTACATCTTTGTGCATTGTACATTTACATTTACAGCATGTCTCCAGCCATTTTTCAAGGCCTCCACAGCTGCGTGTCTGGTGTCTACCATTTGGATGACACTGATATAGACACTGCAGAAACCTGCATTTTTATACAGCGCTGTACAGTACAGAAAGCTAAGCCTTCTCTCTAAGATATATTTTTACCCTAATTATTTCTATAATATTTAAGAAATGTAGTCTTTGTTTTGGTAATGTTATCCTCCCCAGCACATGTAATAGATGCTCAAATATTTGCTGAACTTAAATGAACTTGGGCCTTCTGCCCAGGGTTATGTTTGGCTGGGTCTCCCCTGTTTTGTTCAGAATGAGGAAAGTGTTTTCTCAAGTTTAAAAGAAATTGGCAAGCTCTGGCAGCCTGCCAGGAGGTCCTGCAGCTTTTTCAATAACGGCGTAATTGCTCTGACATTTTGTTATTCTAATAATGAAAGTAAATCTCAAAGCTTGAAGCATCCATAAGGAAAGGCCTGATGCATTCCCTCTAGTGCTCTAATTAAAATGTGTACATTTAATTCTGATTAAAGACCTGGCACTTCGATTTACACGGTATACAGTCATGTCAGTCCAAATCTTTGTACTTGCTTTTTAGGTCAAGCAACTGCCTGGCTAATACACAGGATTATTCGTCTAGTCCGGTGGTTCTCAACTCAGGGCAGTTTTGCCCTCCAGGGACATTTGGCAGTGTGTGGAGATAATTTTGGTTGTCATTACTGGGAGGGGAAGAGGGGGTACTGTTGGCATTTCGTGCGTCTCAGACCGCTAAGCCTTTCACAATACACAAGACATCCCCCCACAGCAAGGAATTCCTGCCTCAAATGTCCACAGTGCAGAGCCTGAGAAATCCCCAAGTTGGACTCCTTCTCCATTCTTCCTATTTCTTCCTCCATAAAAACAACTTAAATGGTTTAGACATTCCATGTTCTGTTCTCCAGAATAATCACTGTTGGTTTGTTTTTCATTCTTCTGGTTGTTGTCTTTATAACTTTAATTAAAGTGTCTGTCAATCCTGGCTGAATGTTAGTCACCTGGGGAGCTTTTCAAAAACGCAGCTATCCATCATGGACACAGACAATAGTGGGATGAAGGCCTATGGTGGGATGGGGGTTGGGTGGAGGGGAGCAAAGCGGTGGAGGGTGAGATGGGGATCTGTAGTACTGTCAACAATTTAAAATGTAGCTATCAAGGCCACCAGGTTCTGATTTCATTATTCTGGGTTGGGACCTAAGCATTGGTATATTTTTAAGGCTTCCAGGTCATTCGAAAATGCAATCACAGTAGAAAAACACTAGTATACATACATTTTTATTTTTAATTTGCCATCTTAGATAATTTGTTATCCTCCATTAGAAAAGATGAAGGCATTTCTGAACTCACTCTACCTTCCATCCCTCCTTCCTCTTCTATCACCAAATTGTAATTATTTTATCTTCATATTTGAACTTTATACATTTTATATCATATTTTAAAAATAAATCTATTTTTATTGATTTCAGAGGGGAAGGGAGAGGGAGATACAAACATCAATGATGAGAGAGAATCTTTGATCGGCTGCCTCCTGCACACCCTCCTGGGGATTGAGCCCTCAACCCGGGCACATGCCCGAACCAGGAATAGAACTATGACCTTCTGGTTCATAGATCAATGCTTAAACACTGAGCTATTCCAGCGGCTTTACGTCATATTTTATGTTATATATATGGATTGACTCCAAAATTTAAAACTTATCTTTAGCATATACAATTCTCAAGTGCCTTGAAATTGAGTGACTCTTTTTTTTTATTGATTTCAGAGAGGAAGGGAGAGGGAGAGAGAGTTAGAAACATCAATGATGAGAGAGAATTATTGATTGGCTGCTTCCTGCATGCCCCCTATTGGGGATCCAGCCTGCAACCGTGGACTTGTGCCCTTGACCAGAATCGAACCTGGGACTCTTTGATCTGTAGGCTGATTCTATCCACTGAGCCAAACCAACTAGAGCTAACATTTTTTCTTGCTAGAAACTTTGAGGATTCTCTCTCCTTGGAGTTCTGAAATTTCACTTGTATATACCTACCTATGAGTCTTTTTTATTCATTCCTCTGAGCCTCAGTGGGTCCTTTCAGATAAAGACTTGTAGCTGCCCTACAAGATTTATGTAAGGAGTTCTGATTTTGGATGACCTGAAATGATATGACTAAATCAGTAGTGTCTAAATGCTAGTCAGCAGTAAAGGTTTTATTTTAATTCATTCATATAGGAAGGGGCAAAATGAAATAATTCTGAAATTAAATCCTTTGTACATATTTTCTAATGTTAAACTGCCTTTTCTCAAAAATAACATTGGCAGTGAGGTGGGGTGTGTGTGTGTGTGTGTGTGTGTGTGTGTGTGTGTGTTTACTCAATAAAGCAAAGTTGTAATCCTATGTCAGTATCTTCTCTTTTTTTTTTTTTAGTTTTGCAGATATATAAAATTCATAAGTGTGGGCTGCTGGACTAAACAACTTTTTGAGTTTTAAATTATCTTTTAGCTTTGAGGTGAAAGTATGATTTAACTAAGTTTTTTAAATATTGTAAAAAAAAAAAAAAAGACTCATTTAATTTGAGGGTGGGGAGTTTCTAAAGACTTATTCAGGAAATAAGTCTTTAGAAGCCCTAATGGTTATTTCCTTTTTGAATAATAAGGCTTTTGCAGATATGCTGAAAGTGAACAAGACCTTGAAAAGTCTAAACATAGAATCCAATTTTATAACTGGAGCTGGGATCCTGGCCCTGGTAGAGGCGCTGAGAGAAAATGACACCTTGACAGAAATCAAGATCGACAACCAGGTAAGCCGACCCGCAGGGCTGCCTGGGAAAGGTACGCCACAATGGAGTGAGTTAAAAGACAAAATTCTGTTGCTCGATTTTATGTTCTGGCTTTCCTGTACTTTATAAAAGCTGCAGGCCTGTGGGGGAGAAGGGGCCAGCGTGCTCCTGATTAAGCATTGCACAGGGGGGCAGCCTGAGCTACAAAGAGCCCGGTAGCCCCCAGCCCTGGGCTGGTCAGGCCTAGAGGAGAAAGAGCAGGTGAGGGCAGAGGTATGGCGGCTGCTTTGTTCAGCCGTCATCACTGCGGCCTCAGCAGGAATCTCAACCGATGCCTGCTCCAGCCTTGCTGTTGCCTACCACTGGGACTATGGCTCCAGTGTGGCCACTCCCAGGGGCAGACTTCCTGTCCCTGGATGAAAGAGTACAGCGGGCTCCTGCAGTCTGGTGCTGGCCACAGAGCCCATTTAAAGGACTTTGGGTTCTGTGTCCGGCCGGCATGGCCAGTGGTTGAGTGTCAATCTATGAACCGAGGATGGCGAAGCGGGGGTGAGGAGTGGAGAGGGTTGGGGGGAAGGGGAGTTACAGTTTGATTCCTGGTCAGGACACGCGCCCAGGTTGCAGGCTCGATCCCCAGTGTGGGATGTGCAGGAGGCAGCCAATCAATGATTCTCATCACCGATGTTTCTATCTCTCTCTCCCTTCTTCTCTGAAATCAATAAAAATATTTTTTAAATAAATAAATAAAGGACTTTGGGTTCTAGAAGATGGCCTGGCTTGGATTATCATCAGCCGAAACCGGTTTGGCTCAGTGGATAGAGCGTCGGCCTGCGGACTGAGGGATCCTGAGTTCGATTCTGGTCAAGGACACGTTCCTTAGTTGTGGGCACACAGCTGATCGATGTTTCTAACTCTCTATCCCTCCCCCTTCCTCTCTTTAATAAAAAAAAAAATCAATAAAATATATTTTTTTTTAAAAAGAGTAGCATCGGACTCACCCACGGTGCAGTCATAATCTCAGCTCTGTTATAGCGTTTCTCAGGTTCCCATCACCAGCCAAAGCTAGTTGTTCTTCCCTGGAGCCACCCCTTCCTGTCCCCTGAAGGCCTCTTTCCCGGCCTCAGCCTGCCTGCCCTGCCTCCAGACTTCTGCTGCTTCAGCTGGCTCCAGCGCACAGGGAGCATGTCTCAGTTCTCGGCGTGTAACCCTGCTCCTTTGTCACAGGAAAGTGTCTGCAGTGAGATTCAGTGAATCTGAGGGGTCTAGACACTGTGCAGTAGGAAGAAAGGGCCCTGGAATGGAACTGAAAGAGGAGAGAGCAAGGAGTCTTGTACTATGAGCATTCTTTTGTGGGGTCGGGGAGAGACAGTGAGGAAAGTACCTGTTGAGAGTGCCCCCTGCATATCTGGGAAATTTCCTGGTCTAGACCCTCTAAGATCTGATAAAGCCCCAGGATCTTACTCAGGACCTTTTTTTTTTTTTCCTTTTTTTTCCCTTCAATATATTTTTATTGATTTCAGAAAGGAAAGGAGAAGGAGAAGGAGAGAGAGAGATAGAAACATCAATGATGAGAGAGGCCGAAGCCGGTTTGGCTCAGTGGTAGAGCGTCTATATGCGGACTGCAAGGTCCCAGGTTCGATTCCCAGGGCATGTATGTTGGTTGCGGGCACATCCCCGGTGGGGGGTGTGCAAGAGGCAGCTGGTCGATGTTTCTCTCTCATCGACGTTTCTAGCTCTCTATCTCTCTCCCTTCCTCCTCTCCGTGAAATATCAATAAAATACATTTTTTTAAAAATGATGAGAGAGAATCATTGATCATTTGCCTCCTGCACGCCCCACACTGGGGATTCAGCCTGCAACCTGGGCATGTGCCCTGAATGGAATCATGACCTCCTGGTTCATAGGTCGATGGCTCAACCACTGAGCCGAGCTGGCTGGGCCTGCGCAGGACTTCTGCCTAAGCCTGGAGACAGGTTCCAGGACAGCTCTACTCTGTTTTTTGTTGCCCAGGACAATAGGACTGTTCAGCCCTGTACTCCTCATGAGGCTTGTTACTAGGGAAGTGGGAACCCTACCGGGAGACAGGAAGGCTTCCTCACCATCCCCAGAAGGGATACATCACCAACATAGCTTTCCAAATGCAGAGGTGTGGAGGGACGCCCAGGGGGAAGACCAGACACGTTCAGGGGAAGCTGATGCCGTGTGTGTGGGTGTGTGTCCAGCAGCTAGTAAATTAAAGATCATCAGGAGGGAGGAGAGCAGGAGCACAAGTGAGAAGAATGCCAAAGGAAAAGAAGCGATAGCTCAGGGATATTTATCCCTAGAGTAGTATCAGGAAGAAGTTGAGCTCTCTTGGTAAATATCCCCAGGAGATCTAAGACAGAAGTGGACACTTTAGCCCAAAGTATATTTGACTTCTTGTGTTGGCTTAGGCCGTAGTGAAACCCCATGTCCGAAATAACGATCTAGATACTCTGTTCCTAGTTCTTTGTAAAATACCATCTAATTAGGGTTGCCAGATAAAATACAGTTCAACTTGAATTTCAGATAAGCAACAATTACTTTTTAGTGTAACTATTAATATATCCCAAGAATATCATGGGACATAACTTATACTATATTATTTATTTGTTATTTATTGAAATTTAAATTTAACTGGGGTTCTGTATTTTTATTAGCTAAATCTGACAGCCTTATATGTAGTGAGTGAGCTGAAATCCTGAAAATTTAGAATAGAGCAGCTTTTTCTAATGCATGTGAAGAAGACCCTAAAATACAGTCCCTCTTAAATTCCCTCTAGATCCAGTAAGGAGTGTGCGGGAGGCAGCCAATCGATGTCTCTCGCTCTCCCTTCATATCTCTCTCTCTCTCTCTCTCTCTCTCTCTCTCTCTCTCTCTCAAATCAATAAAAACATTAAAAAATAATAATAATAAGCCCTGGCTGGTGTGGCTCAGAAGTTAGAATGTCAGCCCAAATACCGGAGGTTCTCGGGTTTGATTCCTGGGTTGCAGGTTCGATCCCCGCCCCAGTCAGGGCACGTGCAAGAGACAACCAATGATGGGTCTCTCTCACATTGATGTTTCTCTTTTGCTCTCTTTCTCTTTCCCCATCCCTCTCTCTCCCCCCTTTCTCTCTTTTCTTCACTTCCCTTTCACTCTCTGTAAAAATTAATGGGGAAAATATCCTCAGATGAAGATTAACAAAAATGATACAAATAAATAAATAAAACATCCCATCTAAAGTATCATCCTCACCATCCATCCCTCCTCAGTCATCTAGGCATGGATTTGTGTAATTTTTCAACTCTGAAATGACTTCTCTTTTCTCGTGACAAGAAGAGGGTTAAGTTCTAGAACCATTGGAAAGATATTTTGTTTTATTTTAAGAATGAGGAAATTCATAAACAAACCTTGATTTCCATCCACAGTTTTGTTCACTGACTCACAGACGGTTAGAAGTAAATCTCTGTTTCCTCCTCTGTCTAAGGAAGGGTTTGAGATAAACTAATCTCTAAGACAGTTTCCTCAGGCAGGGCCAGCAGCTGAGACCCAATAATGCCAGTGCAGCAGGAAACTGCACCGGAATGGAGGCCTGCTGAGAACACCCCACCGTGTGGGTTCCAGCTAAATATGTGATGACTTAATCAGGTGTCCTGTGAGCACAATCGGTAATGCATATTCATGAATAAATAAATTGAGGTAGTGAAAAGAGGTTACTTAAAGAAAAACAGACTGTTTCCTGGCCAGTGTGGCACAGTTGGTTAAGCATCATCCCCTGCACCAAAAGATTCCTGGTCAGGGCACATGCCCAGGTTGCAGTAAGGATGCATTTGGGATGTGGAGGTATATGCAGGAGGCAATCCATTGATGTTTCTCTCTCTCCCCCCATCTCTTTTCCTCCCTCTCTCTCAGAATCAATTTTTTAAAAGACATTAATAAAAATAAAGAAAAACAAAAGGTTATATGAAGAAATGTATGCTTAAACTTTGTTTCTTTTTTTCTTTGTATTTAGTGACTTAATATAAAGAAACATACTATCCAAATTATAAGAAATTCTGGTGCTCATTTAGTATCGTGGGTTTATACAACACAGAAGACCTCAAAAAGACAAACAAACAAACAAACAAAAACTCAGGCTGAGAAAGAAAGATGCCCTATATTATATTACTTTCTCCTCCTCTTTTACATGCCCCCACCATGATTTTCAGCTCCTTTATATCAATATGCCATCCTCCAAGTTATCCAAGTGCTACACTCTGTATGCTTGAGATTTGTCAGGAGAAGTAAGGCGACTTTTATGCTGCCCCTCTCAGTCAGTCACATCCACCAGGAGCTCCTGCTGCCCTGGGAGAGCACCACGTTGGCCCATTCGAGGGGCAGAAGCCAGAACGGCGGCAGCCCCGACCTGAGGCTGGATCTCAGTCCTTAATTCAGTCCCATTGTTCGAAAGTGTGTCATGAGCTAAAGTTGCTCATGATACTGTGAGGTCAGTATCTCTTACTTTATTGCTGCTCCTCCCTCCCATAGATCCTCATTGCTGAGAATGCTGACTCCACCCTGTGATTCCCAAATCTGTTGTCTTACTGGAAGTACCACATTTTTGTTAATATCTTAGCAAGAGACTCAGTTGACAGGTTGTTTGATGAAACAAAAGATAAAGAGCAAAGGACACAAAAGCTTTCTCCATAAACGTTTATCCTTCATCTACCCCATACTTAAAATTTCCAAATTTAAAAGGTATTAAAGCAATCCAATTGCATAATACTGGCACAGAAATAGAGTGGCAGGGTAATAGAGTCCAGAAACACTCACGTATACGTAAGAATTTTGCAACAAAGAGGTATTTCAAATCATTGAAGAAAAATGAAGTAAAAGATGGTGTGACAATTTGCTACCAGAATCCATTTTGGAACAAAATAAAGTTGGTGTTTTATTTTAATTCCTTTTTAAAATATTCTTTTATTGATTTCAGAGCAGAAGGGAGAGAGACAGAAAGATAGAAACATCAATGAACAAACAGAATCATTAATTGGCTGCCTCTTGCACACCTCCTACTAGGGATCAAGCCTATAATCTAGGCATGTGCCTTTGACCGGAATCAAACCCAGGATCCTTCAGTCTGTAGGCTGACACTATCCACTGAGCCAAACTGGCTAGGGTGTATTTTAATTCTTATATTAAAATTCATTTCAGATGAAATAAGATTTAAATATTACAATATGCAAAATCATAAAACAAGTGGAAAATATCAGGAGTGGAGACTTTCTAAACATGACGTAAAATCTAGATTGATAAATTTGACCATTTAAAAGGGAAAAAATGTGTTTAAGTAATCAAAAAGAGAAAGAAATTGAACAAGTATTTTCAGCAAATTTGACAAAGGGCTAATTTCCTAATATATAATAAACTTACAAGCCTTAAAAAAATAAAAAAATTAAAAGCCCAGGAAAAATGGGCAACTTACAGAGATTGGTAGTTAAAAAAAAAAATGTATGAGAAAATTAATGGTTCTTATTCATAATTTGAGGAAAGCAAATTAAAGCAACTAAATATATACAAGTAAAATGTAAATTTCATTTATTGGATTGACAGGGATGAAAAGATTGGTAATATCCCATGTTGGTTAGGGTAAGGAAAACAGTAACTCAAACACTGTTAGCAAATGTAAAAATTGCCATAGCTTTTGAGGGTAAGTCAGTAATATGTCAAAAATTAAAACATGCTCACACCTGGATCCTGCTGAAATTTGCCTCCCAGGCACAGTTGTAGAAACGCCCCAGGATACACTGTGTGTGCACGGGAAGGTCCCTGCAGCATGGTTTGCAATAGTAGAAATGGAAAGCAATATAACAAACAGTCATTAGGACCTAGCTGCAAACATTATGATGCATTACTACAGTGGAATGCTGGGCAGCTGTCCAATGAGGTAATATGTGTTTACCTACATGAAAAGGTGTTACTAATCTTAAAAGAAAAAGAAAAACATCTTTCAGAACAATATACTACTAGAATCCATTTCTGTGGGGGAAAAATAGGTGTACATAAGATTACATAGACATGTGAATACATAGAAAATGTTTAAGACTACATACTGTATACCAAACAGGCTTTCTCTGTGGGGAATGTGAATATTAGGGAAGGGAGCTTTTATATTTTACTAGAGGCCTGGTACACAAAACTCGGGCACTGGGGAGAGTGTCCCTTAGCCCAGCCTCCACCCTCTCCAATCTGGCCGATGTCCGGCTGCTGGTTTAGGACCGAACCCACTTTAGCTGGGCATCCCTTTCATAATCCAGGACCGCCGGCTCCTAGCAGCTTGTCTGCCTGCCTGCCTGATTTCCCCTAATCACTTCTGCCTGCCAGCCTGATCACCCCCTAACTGCTCCCCTACTGGCCTGATTGACACTTAACTGCTCCCCTGCCAGCCGATCACCCCAACTGCCCTCCCCTGCGGCCTGGTCCTCCCATCCCCCCGGCAATTGCCCTCCCCTGTCGGTCAGCTTGTGACAATGTGGGGGCGGCCATCTTGTGATACAAGGGAGTGAGGATCAATTTGCATATTACCTTTTTATTATATAGGATACACTTTATTGTTTGCTTTCTTAAACAAGTCTGTCCTTTTTACTTAAAAATATTTAATGAATATATTATGAAAAAAATATACCGTGTCCCTTAAATTTAATTTTAAATTCTTATATTTACATGCTTCCAATTTTTTTTCATGCTTCCATTTTTAAAAATCTACTTTTAATGTTTTTATTACTCTATGTCTCACCTTAAAAGACAAGCAAAATACCTCTTTTCACAAACATAAAGAAATGTGATTACTTTTCTGTAGTTCAGTAACCCCTTCAGTGTGTGATAACTCACTTGACTGTGGTGAAGCCTCTTGGGGATCTCCTAGTGAGACTCTGCTGAGAAAGAACGGCTCATTAATTGATTATCTTTAATTATTTTTGGATATGGATCCCAGAATAGAAAATTCAGTAATTGGATTGGTTGCTATAATTCAGTTTTCCTATTAAAAGACACCCTTTGTTTAAACCATAAACAATGGGGTAAATTGGAAACATCAAATACTGGTTTTGCTTTCATTTTACATCTGGAATCATCTTTTCCTTCATAAATAATTGGCTTAGTCCTCTCAGCTGACTTTGCTATCTATCTGTCGGGTTTTGCTTCTAGGCAAGGAGCAAATGACTGCAGGGAAGAAAATATCTCCCTGGTGACTTTTTCCCATTCATTTGGAGACTTTTGGCTCTTTGTTTGTTGTCCAACAAGTAGCCATGTATCTTTTCCACACAAGTAACTGTTTTTTCATTCTTCTTGGTCATCCCATGTATCTACCTGCACCTGCAACCAGAGACAGCAGTTGGGAACAGCCGTAGAGATGGAAATTGCCCAGATGCTCGAGGAGAATTCAAGGATCCTCAAATTTGGATATCAGTTTACCAAGCAAGGGCCACGAACGAGAGTGGCCGCTGCCATCACAAAGAATAATGACCTGGGTAATGCGGGCATACTGTGGTGCTGTTAGCAACTATCATAGAAAAGCATGGTGATCATTCATTTCTCCACTTCGGCTCTAACGTATCACCATCCCACTGGCCTTTAGTGCTAGCCCTTCATCAGGGGCAAACTATTACGTGGTCATGGGAATCTTCGCCATCTTCACAGGTTAAGCTTTATTGTAGCATCCTCTCAAGAACGGTTTGTTCTTTTTTTTCCAGACAACCTGTGATTTTTGCTTTGTTTCCTTTATATATTTGCTTCTTCTTTCCTTACTTATTGCATGTAATCACTCTCTGCTGTTATCTACACCAGCAGATGGATGGACACAATGGCATGGACTTTCCTAATTCACTTTGTTGGTGCCTGACTGTGCTTTTGTAGTTGGGTTTAAATATGGTTATGCCTGATACTTGGTTAATTTACACGTGAACTGAACTAGTGAAACCATGCTGTGAAGGGAAACTCAGAGGTAGCTTTTTCAGTTAGCTTCTCGTTAATGTTTCCTCTGCCCACTCTTGGCTGAGGATCTGTGGCATTTCTTCTGTTCACATGAGGTAGGGCATGTCCTAGTCAACCACGGCACAGAAGAATGGGACAGGTTGGGAAGGCTTGGTCTGGGGACATCCCCGCCACTCGAAGCAGCATAGCAAAAGGGCACCCAGGTGTAGACAGTCCACTTGACAAGCAGTGAGCCAATAGCAGGCCTCAGTCCCCAGTATGAGATTCAGGATCAGAATACCAGACCTTGGGCAGGGGAACTGGGCACAGTGTTCTGCGAAGTATGGTGCTGGCCACAGGGAGGATTCAGATAGTAGAGAAGATAGAAGCTGAAAGGTTCTAACCAGAAGGGAGCAGGTAAAGTTAGTGTCCAGCTCTCTGCCTGCACACTGAGCCAAGACCCTGAGGCCCAGCCACAGAGCAATGTGTGGCATCTGGAGCCTGGCCGGGCAGATGGCAGTGCTTGCCTTTGGGCTGCAGAGGGTGAGGCTAAGGAGGCGTCCCAGCAAACAGGGCTTTGGAGAAGGGTAGAAGTAACAGTCGGAAGATGTTTAGGAAAAGCGGAGGATTCCACAGTTGAACAACATCTCGTTCAGGCACAACGAGAAATTTGAAGTAAATGGAGGGGCCAGCCCAGCCCAGGAGCAATAACTGTGGGTTAGACCTTTGCATTTTCGCAGCCTAGGCAGTAGGCTGGGCTATTTAAAGTGGAGAGTTGGGGCAGGGTCACAGTCAGGGCACCATTTCTGCCAAATCCAAGAAGATGAGAGTAGCCCTCCTGCTATCCACTAGAGGAGCCTGCAGGCGGGAGGTGAAAGCGGGAAGAAGACAGTGGCAGAAACTGGGAATGGGCAGCCAGGCAACTTCTTGGATACTAGGAACCAGTTTAAGGGAACCTTCATCTCTAAGTTTGGTTGCCATCTGAATCACACCTTCCTTGGAGGCTGATATTTAGGAGATTTGATTTAAAACAGGTTTAGAAACTTCCAACTTTCTATTGCAGATCCTCCTGGTCTACAAGCCATGATCAGAATTAGCGGGTTGTGAATGTGTCATCCTGGGGCATTAAAGCTGATAGGTGATTGAGTTGCACAGAAGCTGAGAAGGGCTGTGGATAAGTGACCAAGGAAATATTTGGAAGTTCTCTGCATTGTGGGTCTATTCTACACCGTAGAACTGGGAAAGTCCTAACATTCAAATTCTCAACTGTCAGGCATAGCTTTATGTAAATGTAAACCCAATTCGACCCTGGGTTGATTCTCTCATTGTTAACTAAGAATGAGAGAATAATCCAGTGGGTAATTGAATATTGAAATTTAAGGTAACTCTATCCTCAAGTGTGTGAGATTGCTGTTTTGAGTGATAGATGTTGTTTATCTGAAATTTAAGGAGTGTCCCTTCACTTTGTCATTTTAACCTTTCTTTCTCTCTTACCTAGTTCGTAAAAAGCGAGTTGAAGGAGAACGAAAGTAAATTTCTACAAGAGGCGAAGTTCCACCACGGCGGCTATTTAAAAGCAAACAAAAGCGCTTCTCCCTCCCACCGGGACTGTCTTATCAAAGGTTCATTTCCGTTAACCACAGAGCTAATATTTAATTTTTATTCTTTTTTAGCACTACTTATTCATCTGGGATTTTTAAACACATTCGGTTGTTTTATTTGCTCGTGGGCACCTCTGGCAACTCGCACCAGTGGACATAGGCAGGTCTTAGTGGGTGGCAACCATTGAAAAGGCCTTAACCACTTCCATATTGGGTTGTCTCGCTTGCATGAACTTTTTATGACCACTACAAGGCATTTAGTATATAAGTGTGTTTGTAACTGATTATGATAGAGGCCTACCTCTGTTTACATGCATAGCTTTGAGTTAGGCTAAATACAGCAGAAGGTGTTCTGCTGACCATATAAGAAGTTAGTATTGCCAATCTTTCACAGGGTGAGAAATGCAACCCAAGTTAGCACAAATTCTTAGTTCCAGAAATAACACTGAATGCACATGCCCCACTGATCAAAAATCAATGGGATCATCTTCATAAAAACAAGACAGCATTATGATGCTTTAACATATCCTTAGTAAATAAGTATACAATGTTTATTAACCCACAGATATAACTTCAAGATAGACTCACGGGAAGGACAATGAATTGGCACACCTACTTGACTAATTATTTAACATAAATTCAATCTTTAACATGTCTCTGATGGATAGCTTTTTACAAAGCTGTTTTAAAGTTTTCCAGACAGGGTAGGATATTTTTAAGTTTTAGTAAGAGGGAGGCTTTTAAAACAGTACACACCCAAATAAAATAATAATAATTGTACATTAATCGAGGCTGTCTGATGCACATGACTGAATTATTTTGGCAAATTTTAGAAGGATTTATTGCTTTTTCTTTAGTGTAACAAGATTGCAGGGTAAAAGGTGAACATTCAAGTTAATTATACTGATTTTTGTCTACATGGCATGATCCATCCAGATACTTGCCAACATCAGGAAAAAGTGTGAATTATCACTTATCCAGATGTTTGTCATCTCAAGAACGAAGACTGTGACAGCACAGCAGCAATGATTGCATGGTAGTGTGCGTTAATCTTGCAGCAGCCTGATGCTGAAATAGGAAACAAGAGACTACAGCCTTTGGCCCAAGTGCACCTGTCTCTGATAACTGTCAAGGTCCAAGGCTGGAATTGATGGCACTCTTACTTAACACTAGCTTTATGTCTCCTTTCCTGATTCCCTTCTCTCCTTCCTTCCAACTCATTCTCTTTCCTCTTTTCTCTGTAATGCTGAGTTTTGTAAAGGCAGCATCCCTAGTGCTGGTAACCGCTGGACCTAAAGGGGTTGCTGACTCTGGCAGAAGGTGGGCCCAGCCCAGGATTTGTTTAGTAATTGAGTGTTCCTGTGTTGCTTGATAGCAGTAAAACAAGTTTTTAAAAATGAGACATTAATTCACATATTATTCTAGCTAGCTTGTAGAACACATGGGAACCGTTTCAGATAGATATCCTTTATAAAATTGGACATTTACCTATATTTTAAGTACTCACATTTGTAACCCTAAAATTCTTTGAAACCTCATTTTCTTGAGAATATTTTACATTTTTGAGGGACTAATGAGCAGAACCTGTTGATGTTTTTAGGACGCTAAAAATTCTTTAGTTTTCCACTATGTCTCCCTATCTATACCAAAAAAAAAAAAAAAAAAAGCACAGTAAATAGTATTTAATTGTTTTCTGTCTGATTTTTCCTTTCCCCTCTTACTTACTTAGATGTGGAATGTTGGAGCCAGCTCATGCAGGCTTACTGATTATTAAATTTTCAAGAATTTTGCAAACTGGTTGTTAAACATGGCCATTATTAAAAATTAAATGTCATGCACTTAAAATCAAGTTATATTAAAAACAAAAAGTAATACTCAAAAGTACATTTACTATTTCCTGTGCTCTTAAGACTATTTGCATCTGTTGTTGTCGGTATGGCAGACATGCTATAATGCTGTACTGTTTACATCTCCTCTGAATTCAGAAGTTCAGGACCTCTTGCTGGGAGTTTGAAATTGGCCATGATGGTAGGAGTATTTACACCAAGGAAATTAGCAAATTTTACAAATCAGGGCTTCCTCCTATCCCATGCCCCAGTTGCTGGTTTATAAACACGCATCAGCAATGTATACAACTCTTTGTGTGGTGTGTGTGTGTGTATACATATGTATGGCTACCATGTTGCCAAAGGGGAGAACATTTCTCTTCCATTTCTTTCTCCTAGCACTTTAGATTCATTGCAGATATATTTAAATGCTGCATGACCCTGCAAATAGGACTTTTTCCTTTCTTTTCTCATTCACTCTTATTCTTAGCTTCACTCCCTAAGGAATCTTGAATTCTACAGAGTGTTTTCTGCAGCCCCAAGGTGCTGAAGACTGGGGGTGAAAGCAGTTTCTGACAAACTCTGGCAGAAAGCAAGAAAAAAGTCAGAATTTAATAGAGATTGTACTGCAGTTGTTGATAGTATTAAAGCAAGATAATGGGGTATTATCAAAATTTAGCAAAGTTTTAGCTTGTAAAATAGTTGGCTCACATGTAATAGAATCTATGAAATCTAATATTTATATCTAATCATTTTATCTTAATATTACCTGTGTTTTAGAAGTAGCTTGAAAGGTGACATTTTCATGAGTATTCACATATTAAAGATAACTATTAGAAGATAAACTTACATTCTGGAGAGTCTATAAGTCATTTACTTAGCCTAGGACTTCATCTCTCAAGCATCTTCCCAAAGTGTGCAAGTAGTCTTTCCATTATTATGAGCATGATTAATCCCATACCATTCATCATGGTGGCACATAACATGTATAAAATATTTTTATATGTATGCACTTGCCAAATATGATGCTGATATTTGGCAACATCTGGACAACCAATTGAAGGGAGATAATCCCTTCCCAGACCACCTCCTTCCCTCTTTTTGATGTGGACAGGCCCACAGTAAGTACAGAATCACTCACCAGGACCTGCAGGCTCATATCACAGGATGACTTGTAAAAGGAGACTTTTAGGAGACAAATTCTGGAAGTCCGGAGATCACATCACTAGTCCAGCACTCCATCTCCCCACCGTATGGAATTGTGTAGAGGATGCTACTTCATCGTCATGGGCATGAGTAAATCTTTCCCTTTTATCTTGTTAGGACCTAATGTAAATAAGAGTGTGTGTGTGTGTGTGTGTGTGTGTGTGTGTGTGTGTGTGTGTCGCCAAATATCTAAATAACTAGGTGTTTGGCTACATCTGGACAACCGATTGAAGGGGGATGCTCTCTCCCAACTCCTTGTCCCTTGTCCTTTTTAGAGTTGCTTCGGGCCCAGGTTAATGTGAAATCACTCCCTAGAGTTTGCATTTTAGGTCCTCACCCCCCAAATTTCACAGTGTGCATGGTCAACAACCTTAGGGAATAAAGATTAGAAACTTCATTGTTTCAACATCAAATCTCTCCATATGCCTATAGTGTATAAGACGAAGCTCTTTCCTTCTATCTGTGTAGGATATACTCTATATAAGTGTTTTGTAAATAAAGATCACTAATTACTGTATGGAGCTCCTTGGCTAAAGCTGGACAACTGATTGGAGGGAGATGCTGTCCCTCAGGCCTTTTTCCCTTATCCCTCTCAAAGTTGCTGCAGGCCTAGCTTAGATAGAGAATTACTAACCTGGACAGACACGTGCAGCTCACTCATCTGAGAGCACACAGATTACTGTACAATAAAAGCCCATCTCCACTTCAAAATTCAGAAACCCCAAATGCCTGTACTCCTCAAAACCATTTCCCTAAGTCGGTGGTCTGCAAACTGCAGCTCGTGAGCCACATGCGAGCTCTGTTGACTAATGAGTTTGCCGACCACCGCTCTAAGGGAAGCCTGGAACACAGCAGCAGCTTCTCTGCCAGGCAGGGCACCAGCGTGAGGGAGACCCGAGTGCTCTGCATAACTGCCAGGAGGTCGGGTCAGACGCTCAAATCTGAAAACACTGCTAAGCATCAGCGTGCTTTAAATTCACAGAAGAGTTTGCAGCTATTTCCTTCTTCGTGCATATGGATGCTTGGACATCTAGGCCCTGCAAGGGGGACAGGAAGTACAAAAACTCCGGACTGATACAATCTGATATGTGTTTCTTGGGTTTTGAGGGTAGAGTGCCTTTTTGCAAAGTGGATACCATCTTCCGTGCAGGTATTTATGGCAGCAGCACCAATGGGCAGGGGTGGTAAGTTGTGAATTCTGGGTTCTGTGGCCTGTTACCTGTTTCCGGAATCGGGTTTAAGTCACGATCCTGAAGCTTCCTCCCTCTCATACACTAATGATGCAGTAATAGCTCCTTTCCTTTTTAAAAAACCTTTATTGTTGAAAGTATTACATAGTCCTCTTATTCCCCTCATTAACCTCTTCTAACCTCCCCGCGCACCCGCCCCCCACCCCTCAGGCCTTCACCACCTTCTTGTCTGTGTCTATGGGTTATGCATATATACATACAAGTTCTTTGGTTGATCTCTTGCTACTTTCATTTTAATGAGCAGAGAACTAAGATGAAATGTTTTGTCTGTTTTTTTAATATATTTTATTGATTTTTTACAGAGAGGAAGAGAGAGGGATAGAGCGTTAGAAACATCTATGAGAGAGAATCATCGACCAGCTGCCTCTTGCACACCCCCTACTGGGGATGTGCCTGCAACCATGTACATGCCCTTGACCGGAATCGAACCCAGGACCTTTCAGTCCACAGGCCGACGCTCTATCCATTGAGCCAAACCGGTTTTGGCTAAGATGAAATGTTTTAGCTCTGCCTTCCAGTGGCAGTTTTTCCTTTTGCTCCTCATTTCAAATCTTCCCACCACATACCATGCCATCCTCAAAGCTAAAGGACTGAGACACATGCAAAGAAAAGGTGTGAGAATGACTAGAAGCATCAGGCAGAGCATTCTG